CACTGTCTAGATAGCTCGACCTGAAGTCGTTCCTTATCAGTGACCAGCTTATACCGTTGACGCGCAGCCACAAGAAGTTGCGAGGTTACCTCTCCCTTCCCCCTCCCGTCCTTCCCTCCAGCCTGCTTGTCTTTTGCCAAATCGGATAGCACTGCAACGTTCGGCATTTTGAAATATTTCAAGATTAAAATTATGCACTGCATTGCTAGTTTTGATAGTTTTTTTCAACAAAGATGAGAAGCCTGGATATTCGAGTAAGAGTCGCACATTTATGTTTTTACTTCCAGAAGGCTAAGAAAGCACCTGTTTCTGGCTCCTTCTAGCCATGCTTTATGTTCGCCAAGATTCCATTCGGCATCCTTTCCTTGCTGTTCTAAAACATCAATGTGCTTCTCCTTGGCATCTATTTCTTCCTGTACTTGGTCCAGCTGCGCTTTCAACTCACTGAAAATAACTGCCTAAATATCAAAGGTTTCTTAAACAGCATGCTTATCCCGATATTGTTTCATAGCGAAAATAATTGTCCCTACCATTCTGTTCTCATGCGCTCCTGTATTAACCTAAAGAGTAAAGTTAGGAATATGCAGGCTAAGAATTCCTAAACCAACGATCCAGAAATTCAAACATTGTGGAACCAGAACCAACATCACGAGTCGGTTGTTTTATGGCACTGATAACAGAATCATCCACAGGGTGAAAGGTAGCAAAAGCAATCGTAAGGACCCAAACAGATGTGTCTTCCGCAGTAATAGCGCGATGCCTACTGTCCCTTTTAACCACCAGTGACATGGTTGGGAATTGAACTCATAACTTAAAATGTAACACATTACTTGATAACTTCCTGAGTATTTGCTTCTGCTTCGCGTAGTCTGTTTTCCAGGTCCTGAATGGAGTGCTCCTTCTCCTGACATAACGCACTCAGCTGGTCAGCCCTGAAACCGATTTAACGAAAATTCGATCCCTATTTATCCAAGCAAGCGTGCAGGCCTGATGAGCTAAAGAGGAATTAGATCAGTACTCAGTGGTGATTTCTTTGATGAATTTAATTTCGAAATATTTTGCATCCGACGCTCACAACACCTAGTCTTTCTGCGATTGGTTCATTCATTTCGACGATAAGTTGGTGCTGGCTTTTGCCAGAGAGAACAAACCTGTCGTTAGCTCGATGCCACTGTCTTGCCAGAAATTGGCTGCTACTGGCATTTCCTACCTCTCGGACTACTTTTCGAGTCCCGCTTCTCATAAAGACAAATGCAAAGACGGCTTCTACTTCAAATTTAGTGTATTTTTAAAGCCAGCCGTTCTACTTCTACACAGTTCGCTTTTCCGTCTTCGCATTTTCTCCAGACGTTATCTTCGACGAGATTCTTTTGTCTCATCATTGCTGAAGGCTTTTAAATTGAACTTTCAAGATGCAAAGAATGGTGCACCTTTCGTTGGCATCTGCTAGCCATTGCTTGTGCTCGCCGAGACTCCAATCATTATCATTTTTTGCTTTCTCCAAAATATTCAGCGAGTCAATTTTGGCATTTAGTTCTCTCTGTACGTCCTCCAACTGTGCCCTCAGTGAACTGCAAGAACTTAAAACAATCGTTGCTCGCAAACCATACAATAAAATTCTTGCCTGTGATGGTAAGTGCTTATATAATATTATGCGAGCTGGAAAAAAGCTGAAATTTTAGAAGGGGATTCCTTACTCGCGTGTGGCGGTTTTTTGAAACACTGCGTACAAGCACTTATCTAAAATCTTATCTGATAATATTATATAAACACTTATCAATATTCTAAATAAAAACAGTTTTCTGTGACTATAAGAAAGATGGCAAAGTTAATTTCATGTTAGGGGACAGCGCATGAGCCTAAAATATTTTCAG